AGAAACTATTTTGCCCTTATTTCTAATTTTGTTATAGAGAGAGTATAAGCCTTAATAGGAAGGAACAAGGGTTTTTGCTGGTTGAGATAAGGATAGCTACACAGGGAGTTGACTCACATTAATTTCCTGTGCGTGTGTGTTACCTTCTAGGTTGATTCTTTTTGATCTGGTGATGATACTTAACGTTTGTTCACCCCATACAGTGTGTGGCAGGGAGTAGCTGAGCGCTTTGAGTACCTAACCAGTCCCCTAGGACTTGATGATGAAGCTGTAGTTGTGTCTCTGTCCTGTAGGAGTAAGTTGAGATTCCGAGGAGTGAAGCCATGACACTAGAAAGTCAGTGAGAGACAGAGCTGGGATTCGGATGAGGGTTATCTCACTTAGCTCTCTCACACACCTGGTGTGCTGTGCTGCTTCCTTGAGTCTCAGTATGAGGCTGCTGGTAGGGTGTGGGCATCTGGGTGAGTGCGTTGTTGGTAAGAGGATGGAGTGGGTCAGGATTACTCAGTGGATCATAACTGGTGTTTGGTTCCTGGGCCACTTTGTTAGATGTCCACAGTGAAGTAAGTACAGAAACAGAGGTTGAGGACTTAGACACTTTTAAAGCAATTTGGCTTTTACTGTGGCACCCAAGTTGTGATCATTCTTTTTGCAGTTCATCTTTGGTAACATTTATTGATCATAATTCATACACCATACAATTCACTCATTTAAGTATACAGTTCAGTAGTTTTAGTATAATCACCATAGTCCATTTTAGAAAACATCATTACCAAAAGAAACCCTGTGCCCATTTGTGGTCACTCTCCATTTTCTTCCATCCCCTCAAAATCCCAAGCACGCACTGCGCTTTGTGTCTCTGAGGATTTGCCTGCTCTAGGCACTTCATGTAAATGAAATTATACAATAAACGGCCTTTGTAACTTAACCTAATGCTTCCAAGTTGCATCTGTCTTGTAGCATGTGCCAGTGCTGCATTCCTTCTATATAGATGTACATAATCTGTTTCTTCATTCTTACATTGGTGGACATTTGGTTTGTTTCTACTTTTTGACTATGATAAATAATGCTGGTCAGTGCAATCACATGCACATTTTTATAACAGTATTTCATTTCTTTTGATATATACCTACAAGTGGATTGGCTAGATCATAGGGTACATTTTGAGGACCTGCACATTTCCAAAGTGTCTGCAGCATTTTCCCTTCCCTCCAGCAGTGTTTGAGGGTTCCAGTTTCTCTACATCCTTGCTGTTTCCTGTTTTTCAATTAATAGCTCTCCTAAGCTGGTGTGAAATAGTGGGTCATTGTAGCTTTGATTTATCTCTTTGGTGACGCTAACGATATTGAGCATCTTTTCTTGTAACTAGGGACCACCTGGCATTTGTGTCTTCTTTGAAGAAATGCCTGTTTAGATCCTTTGCCTATTTTTGCTTGGAGTGTCTTTTTATTATTGAATTCTAAGAGTTCTCTGCATATTCTACATGCAAGTTCCTTATCGAAGTATCAGATACATATAATATCTTCCATTTGGTGGGATATCTTTTAACTTTTTTTTTTTTTTTTTTTTTAATTTAATTGGCGTTACTGGGGTTTGAGTTCAGGGCCTGGAGCTTCCTAGGCAGGCACCCTACCACTTGAACAATGCCCCTAGCTCTTTTTTTTTGCTTTATTTGTTTTTCAGTGAGGGTCTCATTTTATGCCTCAGGCTGGTCTCAGATCAAGACCCTTCTACTCATAACCTGCATAGCTGGGATCATAGGAGTGAGTGCACCACCATGACTGGCTTATTGATTGACATAGGAATGTTGCTAACTTTTTGCCCAAGCTGGCCTTCAACTGTAGTCCTCCCAATCTTTAGCTCTTGTGTAGCTGGGATTATAGGCATGAGCCACCCTGCCTGCCTCTTTTCAGTTTCTTAATGGTATCCTTCGAAGCACAAAGTTCTAAGTTTTGGTGAAGTCCAATTTATCTGGTTTTTTTTTTGTGTGTTTTTGATGTCACATTTAAGAAGTGATGCCATTCATTTTTTGTGTGTTTTTCAAAAGTATTAGTGTATAACAAATTGGGAAAAATGAGTCGTTCACCACAGGTTGTTTGAGAAGCACTGGAGTGGATTTCTTTGGAGGTCTTGTTAAAGTCTGGATATAGAGTACAGAGCTCTTTTCTCGGTGCTTTCATTCTGTGCACTGAATGCCTAACCTGACCTTCCTTAGCTCTTAGGCTTCCTGTGACTTAGGTACAGATGAAAGGAGCCAGCAGCCTTTTGCTGTATCTACCTTCAATCCACTTGTAAAGAATGATTGGAAAAGTTTCTGACAAATTAGAGCATCTGTTCTTTCTCTCCTGCCATCTTCTCTCCTTTCTTTTGGTGTCCTTCTAATATGTGATTGAAGCAAGTCTGGTGCTAGCTATGATTTAAAAAAAAAAAAAAGTCCTGATAAACAGGGGTGTGTTCCTTTTTACGTGTTAATAAATGGTGAGCTCTCACTACCTGTTTTTGTGAAAGGAAGAGAGTCATGTAATGTCTCCAGAAATGGCCTTTGCTGTTGCAGATGTTGGTGGTGATGGGTGGGAAGGGATGGGTGTATTTTGATACAGTATGATGCAGTTTAGAGCCTGCTGAGGAACTGGGAGCCATGAACAGAACCCTGGGGTGTTAACAGGAGAATTGCCAGTCACTCGTAGACCCGAAGAATGATTTAGGTAAGGGAGTTTATTAAGGTACTGACATACCTTCTGTGGCTCCGTGCTGTTTCTCAACAGAGTACCAGGTGGTGAGAAGATCACGGGAGGCTTTGAATGTATCTCTGAACAGTCATTCAACATTTGAGGCTTAGACTTGGGTAATGGAATTGGTGAATTGTCTCTAGCTGTACATCCTAAGTTTTTCCCATATAACTCTTTCCTCATTTGTTTGGGCATCCTTTGATCTAAAAGTCTTCTTTTATTAGTCTCTCCAATTTGCTTATTTCACCTGAATAAGAATGAAACAGACCTAGGCTCAAAAGAAAAGGGTAAGTATAAGAATTCTTTCCTCTGGCTAAAGGTAGATCTTGACTAATTCAATTTATGTGGCCAGGAAAGAGGCAGACTTGGCAAGAGAATGGAAAACACATGCTACTTACAGAGCAGTACTTGAGTGATTATAGCGTCACTTATAATAGCCAGAAGTATAAACACAAAGGATAAGTACTGTGGGATTCTGAGTATATAGGGCAAGCAGATAGTTCGACTTACAGAGATAGAAAATAGAATGGGGGCTAGGGAAGGGAGAATGGGGATTCAGTGTCTAAGGGGACAGTTTCAGTGTGGGAAGACGGGAAGATGAAAATCTCCATTCTGGAGATGGGATGGTAGTGATGGTTATACAACAGTGCAATTATTTTGAGGGTCTTGCACTTGCTAAGCATGTGCTCTCTCACTTGGACCACACCCCCAGCCCTTTATGCTTTATTTTTCAAATAGAGTCTCATGTTTATGCTGGGCCGACCTGGACCCATGATCATGATCCTATTTGTGCTTTCTGCACTCCTGGAATGATAGGTGTGTACCACTATGCCCAACTTTTATGGTTGAGATAGGTCTCACTAACTTTTTGCCTGGTCTGGCCTCAAACTGCTATCTTCCCTATCTCTACCTCCTAAGTAGCTACAATTACAGGTGTGAGCCATGCACCCATCTACAATGCAAATATCTTTAATGCCACTGAATTATATGTTCCTATAAAAGTTTAAAATGGTAATCTTTCTGTTGTGTATATTTTGGCATGATCAAAAAAATCAGGTGTCTTTACAAAAAAAAAAGCCCACGTATAAGGCTATTACATCTTGATAAAAGTTGTGATTTGTTATCTGTTGGGCTGTATTAGTGGCTGTAAGCTTATTAGGAGTGGAACTCTTTTTGAAATGAAGTCTTCTGTGTTTTAAGAATTGAAGCCCCTGTAAGCAGTGAAGTTCTCAGGCAGTTTGAATCTCCTGCAGCCCTTCAGGGGCCTGTGGAACATTTGAAAATTAGATGAACGTTTCTCTTGAAACATACTGAATTCTTGGTTTATTGCCACCATTAGGGCTGGAGAAATGTCTGTCAGAAATGTATGGGGTGATGAGCGTTTGATTATTAAAGCAGCTGTATATGACCATTTTTGTCCTGTTTGACCTGTGATTAATGTTATTTAGAAAGGAAAGGCCAGCATCTGCCAGATAACAGCAGTAGTTTTAAGTGTTCTCCATGTCCTTAGAGCTGTGAGCTCAGGTCTGTGTGCATTTGTGTTTTCAAGGGTCTGGAGAGAGGCCCGGGACCGCATCGTGGGCTTCCCTGGCCGGTACCATGCGTGGGACCTCCCTCATCAGTCCTGGCTCTATAATTCCAACTATTCCTGTGAGCTGTCCATGGTGCTGACGGGTGCTGCCTTCTTTCACAAGGTGAGAAGCTGGCTACAGTGGCATGCACTTAATAAGAGTTGAGCCTTTGTGTGGTAGTGAAATACTGCCCTAATGTTAGCTCTCTTCCTGCTTCTTAAGTGGCCCTTTCTGTTTCTAAAGACACTGATCAAGATGCTTAGAGCACCCGGGCATGGTGGTTCACACCTGTAATCCCAGCACTTGGGAGGCAGAGGCAGGAGGATTGTGACTTCAAAGCCAGCATGGGCTACATAGCAAGTTCAAGACCAATCCTGGCAATATAGATCCTATCTCAAAAAACAAAACAACCCTAAAAGTCATCTTATCAGGGACATTTTGAACTAGCCTAAGAAGCCAGTAAACTTCCACCTTTTTTTCATTTTTAAAACTTAATGTGTGAAGCTGATATACTCAGCCCATTCTTGAACTTCACCCTAGGATTTGTTTTCCAAACTCAGGTGAACTTGGTTAGGGTTGGGGACTGCAGTAGGTTGAGAGGGGTGGGATATTAGACACACCAGCTGAGAAACCATACCTAATGAGGAGCCATTTGTTTTCACACTTGCACATCCCAGAAGGAGCCACTGTTTCTAGCAGCATTTGCTCAGACCTGGAGAATTCACTCGTTCACAGGTAGGCCTGCCCTCAAGCCTAGTTGCTCTCTAAAAGTCAATGGTCAGATCCTTTTACTTTTAAGAAATAGTTTACTTACTGAGGCATAATAGTTTTCCTGTTTGAAAATCGAGAGTGGGGTTTACAAACTTGCAGCCCTTGAGCCTCAGTTGAAATGTTGGGCTCACAGAAACGTTTGGGGTTTTTTGAGATACTGGGGTTTGAAGTTAGGGCCGCATGCTTGCTAGGTGGATGTTGGGTATTTTCCATATAGAGTCTTGTGAACTATTTGCTCAGGGCTGGCTTTGAACAGTGATCCTCCTGATCTCTGCTTCCTGAGTAGCTAGGATTATAGGTATGAGCCACCAGTGCCCTGCTGAATTACCTCTCTTTTATTAAAAAATGTGTAATTCATTTTTTAAGTTCGCTAGCTTAAGTATTTTTCTAGAAGTTAACTAGCAAACTACTCTGCTACAAAAAAAATTATTTCGTTCATTATTTTGTTACCTAGATTGTACTGCTTAAGTTAATAAAGCATGTAATCACATCTGCTCATTTGTCACTAGCACAATGAATGTACCCTGTTTTGTAGTATTTGCTAATTTCTCTGTTATAAATAATTTTACCTTGTCTGATTTCCAGTTATCAACACGAGTTACTGATCATGGTGTTGGCAAGAAACATGCGGTTGTGCACAGTGATTAGATGTTCACCCCATTTACAATAGACATAAACCACCTGAAAATTACAGTGAAATGTAATAAGTTCAGAAGCAATGAATTTTAGTATTTATTGCATTAATTTCCAATGTAACTTGCTTAGTTTTAAGTTTATGTAATTGTGTTCTTAATAATGGCTGTATTTCACAAGCTCACGAAATGTCTGAAAATTTAGCAAGGAACATCTGTTAGCATGTGAGAACCAGCTTTGGCACACCACTGTGTGGAACTTTTTTTTTTTTTTCCTTTTTTGGGACAGGTTCTTGATATGTAGCCTAGGTTGTTCTCAAACTTACAATCCTTTTGTCTCTGCCTCCTAGTAGATGGGATTATAGGTGCATGCTTTGTTGACAGCTTCGTGGAATGTTTGAAGGACTTCAGCTATTCCTCTGAGTAAAATGTGAAGCCACTGTAAAAGGTGTGACTTGTTCAGTGGGACTTGTGATTAACAGGGCCACTCTGCTGTGCTGAGAATAGAGTGAAGGGAAGGAAACCTGGCAACAGGGACACTATTTAGGAAGACTAGTTAAGGCAAGAGATGATGGTGGCCTGGAGCAGGGAGTAGCCAGTGGCAATGGTAAGATGTGATCAGATCAAGAATCCATTAGTTCGGGGCTGGAGGTGTGGCTCAAATGGTAGAGTGCCTGCCTAGTAAGTATGAAGCCCTGAGTTCAAACACACCAGCACCAAAAAGAATCCATTAGTGAGGCAGTGATTAGACCTCTCATGCTTCTGTGATCTGTTAAGTCTGAGAATGCAGCCAGGTTTTCCTTTCACTTATCTCTTGGTGCACTGTCAGAGTAGAATTTTGTTCAGCTGAACCAGTGCCTGAGTTGGCTTGACAGACCTTTGTATGGATTTCAACACTGTTGAGATATCAAGGAGACTACATGGAGTTCTGTTTCTTAAAGGTGGTGATAATGGCAGTTGGAGTGGGAGAAGACCTGCACTGCAAGATGTTCAGCATTCTTGGCTCCAGCTCTCTAAATGACAGTAGTGCTTCCAGTTATTGCCACACATGCACAACTCCACTCACTTTCAAACAGCCCCTAGACCTGTGCACGTCTTTACAGAAAACCAAAGAATCGTGACCTCTAACAGAGTGTGTGGTTCTTGTCTTCCCCCAACAGTACTATGCCTACCTGTATTCTTACGTGATGCCGCAGGCCATCCGAGACGTGGTGGATGAGTACACCAACTGCGAGGACATCGCTATGAACTTCCTCGTCGCCCACGTCACGCGGAAGCCCCCGATCAAGGTGAGGCCCTGCACCATGGGACTGCGCGTGCATGCAAAACCCCCGGTCAAGGTGAGGCCCGGCACCATGGGACGCAATTCTCTTGTTCTGCCGTGGTGCTGTCCATGATGGCACCAGACTTGAGCGCTTCTATAAAGCGGGTGAGGACACCACCTATCTTGCAGATTGATTATAGGATTCAATGAGTTGGTACTCAGCAGCTCTGCACTCCTGAGGCTGGTGGATAGAACTAAGAGAGTTTGGAACTTGTGTAGGACAGATGTTGCAGGGTTATTTTACTCATCTGAAACTTAAATGTAGTAATTTCCCTCAATTATTGATTTGTTACCAGAAGAAATCAGACATTTTTGTATCCTGTAGCATTTCATTGCAAATATATCAAAGACGTGTTTCTGTTCACCACTGCTTTGAAATGATGATAGTTATTTTCCTGTCCTTACAGTCTTCTTATTTAGTACAGTAATAAAACAGCATGTATATTTCTATATTTCAGTATAACTCTTTTCCTTTGTAATCCCATGTACTTTATTTTATGTATTTAGAGACTTTAAAGAAGGCATCCACAGGCTTTACTAGATTGCCAAATTCGAGGGCAAGTTGGTAGATCAATGTTTAGCATTTTAAGTAGCTTCCAAATTTTTTTCCAGAGTGGTTGTACTAGTTTACATTTCCACCAGCAGTGTAAGAGGGTTCCTTTTTCCCCGCATCCTCGCCAACACCTGTTGTTGGTGGTGTTGCTGATGATGGCTATTCTAACAGGGGTGAGGTGGAATCTTAGTGTGGTTTTAATTTGCATTTCCTTTATTGCTAGAGATGGTGAGCATTTTTTCATGTGTTTTTTGGCCATTTGAATTTCTTCTTTTGAGAAAGTTCTGTTTAGTTCACTTGCCCATTTCTTTATTGGTTCATTAGTTTTGGGAGAATTTAGTTTTTTAAGTTTCCTATATATTCTGGTTATCAGTCCTTTGTCTGATGTGTAGCTGGCAAATATTTTCTCCCACTCTGTGGGTGTTCTCTTCAGTTTAGAGACCATTTCTTTTGATGAACAGAAGCTTTTTAGTTTTATGAGTCCATTTATCTATGCTATCTCTTAGTTGCTGTGCTGCTGGGGTTCCATTGAGAAAGTTCTTACCTATACTAATCCAGAGTATTTCCTACTCTTTCCTGTATCAACTTTAGAGTTTGGGTCTGATATTAAGATCCTTGATCCATTTTGAGTTAATACTTGGTATAGGGTGATATACATGGATCTAGTTTCAGTTTTTTGCAGACTGCTAACCAGTTTTCCCAGCAGTTTTTGTTGAAGAGGCTGTCTTTTCTCCATGTAATTTTTAGCTCCTTTGTCAAAGACAAGTTGGTTATAGTTGTGTGGCTTCATATCTGGGTCCTCTATTCTGTTCCACTGGTCTTCATGTCTGTTTTTGTGCCAGTACCATGCTGTTTTTATTGTTATTGCTTTGTAATATAGTTTGAAGTCAGGTATTGTGATACCTCCAGCATTGTTCTTTTGACTGAGTATTGCCTTGGCTATTCGTGGCCTCTTGTGTTTCCATATAAATTTAACGGTAGATTTTTCAATCTCTTTAATGAATGTCATTGGAATTTTGATGGGAATTGCATTAAACATGTAGATTACTTTTGGGAGTATAGACATTTTTACTATGTTGATTCTACCAATCCATGAGCATGGGAGATCTCTCCACTTTCTATAGTCTTCCTCAATCTCTTTCTTCAGAAGTTTATAGTTTTCCTTGTAGAGGTCTTTCACATCCTTTGTTAGGTTTACACCTAGGTATTTGATTTTTTTTGAGGCTATTGTAAATGGAATTGTTTTCATACATTCTTTTTCAGTTTGTTCATTGTTAGTGTATAGAAATGCTAATGATTTTTCTATGTTGATTTTATATCCTGCTACCTTGCTATAGCTATTGATGGTGTCTAGGAGCTTCTGAGTAGAGTTTTTTGGGTCTTTAAGGTATAGGATCATGTCGTCTGCAAATAGGGATATTTTGACAGTTTCTTTACCTATTTGTATTCCTTTTATTCCTTCTTCTTGCCTAATTGCTCTGGCTAGGAATTCCAGTACTATGTTGAATAGGAGTGGAGATAGTGGGCATCCTTGTCTGGGTCCTGATTTTAGAGGGAATGGTTTCATTTTTTCTCCGTTAAGTATATATGCTGTAGGTTTTCTATATATAGTTTTATTTGAGGTACTTTCCTTCTATTCCTAGTTTTCTTAGAGCTTTTATCATGAAATGGTGTTGGATCTTATCAAAGGCTTTTTCTGCATCTATTGAGATGATCAAGTGGTTTTTGTCTTTGCTTCTGTTAATGTGGTTTATTACGTTTATTGATTTTCGTATGTTGAACCACCCCTGCATTCCTGGGATGAAGCCTACTTGGTCGTGGTGAATAATCTTTTTGATGTGTTGTTGAATTTGGTTTGCCATTATTTTGTTGAGGATTTTTGCATCAATGTTCATTAAGGAGATTGGCCTATAGTTCTCCTTTTTGGAGGTGTCTTTGCCTGGTTTTGGGATAAGTGTAATACTGGCTTCATAAAATGTGTTAGGCAGTTTTCCTTCCCTTTCTATTTTGTGGAACAGTTTAAGGAGGGTTGGTATCAGTTCTTCTTTAAAGGTCTGATAGAATTCAGCAGAGAATCCATCAGGTCCTGGACTTTTCTTTTTGGGGAGACTCTTGATTGCTGCTTCAATTTCATTTTGTGTTATAGATCTATTCAGGTGATTATTTCCTCTTGGTTCAGTTTTGGATGATCATATGTATCTAGAAATCTGTCCATTTCTTTAAGATTTTCAAATTTATTTGAATATAGGTTCTCAAAGTAGTCTCTGATGATTTCCTGGACTTCCATGGTGTTTGTTGTTATCTCCCCTTTTGCATTCCTGATTCTACTAATTTGGGTTTTTTCTCTCCTCATTTTAGTCAGGTTTGCCAGGGGTCTGTCGATCTTATTTATTTTTTCAAAGAACCAACTTTTTGTTTCATTAATTCTTTGTATGGTTTTTTTGGTTTCTATTTCATTGATTTCAGCTCTTATTTTTATTATTTCTCTCCTTCTATTTGTTTTGGGATTTGCTTGTTCTTGTTTTTCTAGGAGTTTGAGATGTATCATTAGGTCATTGATTTGGGATCTTTCAGTCTTTTTAATATATGCACTCCTGGCTATAAACTTTCCTCTCAGGACTGCCTTTGCTGTGTCCCATAGGTTCCGGTAGGTTGTGTTTTCATTTTCATTGACTTCCACGAACTTTTTAATTTCCTCTTTTATGTATCAGTGACCCATTGTTCATTAAGTAATGAGTTATTCAGTTTCCAGCTGTTTGCATGTTTTTTGTCTTTACTTTTGTTGAGTTCTAGTTTTATTGCATTGTGATCAGATAGTATGCACGGTATAATTTCTGTTTTCTTATATTTGCTGAGGCTTGCTTTGTGCCCTAGGATCTATTTTGGAGAAGGTCCATGGGCTGCTGAGAAGAATGTATATTGTGCAGAAGTTGGATGAAATGTTCTGTAGATACCAAGTAGGTCCATTTGACCTATGGTATGTTTTAGATCTAGGATTTATTTATTGATTTTTTTGTTTGGATGACCTATCTATTGATGATAATGGAGTGTTAAAGTCTCCCACAACCACTGTGTTGGCGTTTATATATGCTTTTAGGTCTTTCAGGGTATGTTTGATGAAATTGGGTGCGTTGACATTGGGTGCATACAGATTGATGATTATTATTTCCTTTTGGCCTATTTCCCCTTTTATTAGTATGGAATGTCCTTCTTTATCTCGTTTGATCAATGTAGGTTTGAAGTCTACTTTGTCAGAGATAAGTATTGCTATTCCTGCCTGTTTTCAGGGGCCATTGGCTTAGTAAATCTTCTTCCAGCCTTTCATCCTAAGCCTATGCTTATTTCTGTCAGTGAGATGGGTCTCCTTTAAGCAACAAATTGTTGGATCTTCCTTTTTAATCTATTTCATCAAACGGTGCCTTTTGATGGGTGAATTAAGTCCGTTAATATTAAGCGTTAGTGGGTGAGGATAGGTAAGACACCTAAAAAACTAGCTAGCATTTGTTGCCCTTAATGCAGAGAAACTAAAGCAGATACCTTAAAAGCAACTGAGGCCAATAGGAAAAGGGGAACAGGTACTAGAGAAAAGGTTAGATCAAAAAGAATTAACCTAGAAGGTAACACCCACGCACAGGAAATCAATGTGAGTCAATGCCCTGTATAGCTATCCTTATCTCAACCAGCAAAACCCCTTTGTCCTTCCTATTAATGCTTTACTGTCTCTACAACAAAATTAGAGATAAGGGGAAAATAGTTTTCTGCTGGGTATTGAGGGGGGGGAGTGGGAGGGGTGGAGTGGGTGGTAAGGGAGGGGGTGGGGGCAGGGGGGAGAAATGAACCAAGCCTTGTATGCACATATGAATAATAAAAAAAAAAAAAAAGAAAAAAAAATATTAAGCGTTAGTACTGATAGGTATGTGGTGATTCCTGTCATTTAGTTGTCTTAGTTGTTTGAAGGTTTGATTGTGTGTACCTAAGTTGAGGTTACTCTCTACTTTCTAGCTTTTTGTTTTCCTGTAGTTTGGTGCTGCCTGCCCTCTCATGGTTATGTTTGGTTTCACTTTCTGTGTGCAGAATCCCTTGAAGAATCTTTTATAGTGGTGGCTTTGTGGTCACATATTGTTTTAGTTTCTGCTTATCAGGGAAAACTTATTGCTCCATCTATTTTGAATGATCGTTTTGCTGGGTAGAGTATCTTGGGGTTGAAATTATTTTCATTCAGTGCCTGGAAGATCTCACCCCAAGCTCTTCTTGCTTTTAATGTTTCTGTTGAGAAGTCTGCTGTGATTTTGATTGGTTTACCTTTGTATGTTATTTGTTTTTTCTCTCTTACAGCCTTCAATATTCTTTCCCTAGTTTCTGTACTTGTTGTTTTAATGATAATATGCCGTGGGGTAGTTCTATTTTGATCTGGTCTGTTTGGTGTTCTGGAGGCCTCTTGCATCTGTATGGGAATAGATTTC